TGTAGCCCACAGAGTTATTCTCCATCACAACCTCACCCCCCAATATAATAAAACTCTTATTCTACGCTCTTCAGACATAATGAAAAAATGTTGGAGAATTTAACAACAATAAACGTTTCAACAAGAGTTAAAATTTTTTTTGAATGAATTTCTATACAATCCTAACCTCTTTATATAGGAAATGGCTAGTCGGGATTTTTTTTTATATATATATATAGCGACCAAAAAGTTGGCACTATACGCTTTTGAATTATTGAAGTCAGGAATTGTTGGTGGGGCCAGGAAAAAGGAGTATAGCGCCAAAATACCAGGCGCTATATATAAAACTTATGTATAACGCCAGGTATTGTGGGGCTATATCTGAGCGTGTCAGCTTTTTCAGTATAGCGCCACAATACTTGGCGCTATACAGTAATGACACAGTTAACGTTACTGTATAGCGCCAAATATTGTGGCGCTATATATAAAAATGTCACCTTTTTCCCCCACCTATTTATGTATTTTGAGTCCAAAAGAACCACAATTGGATTCCGGGCTCAAAATACCAGACATATAAAGTTGAGCATTTTGTTCGCCATTGTACATTAGGACAGTCCAACGAAAGAAGACGACAAGGAAATGCAGAGGACAATGCTTCAGTTGATATGCATTTCGTAGAATGGAGCTGGTTGACAAGTTGCAAGAGGATGTCGCTTTATCTTAATTAGACTTTTTTATTTTTAAATCTTAATTAGACTGGACATCATGTGCTTGCTTCGTGCTGTTGTCCGCTCAACAAGTTCTTGCTAACTAGTAACTTCACAAAATAGTTGAAGGAAGAAGGATAATTAGGCCCCAACTAAAAGCAAGTTGAGATGTGAATTCATGTTCATCTTGCTCTATTTATATGTCTGTCTCAGTTGAGTACCTTGTGAAGGCACCCAAAGTTAGAACAGTAGCTGCCTTAGTTTTGAGCATACTAATTCATCTTGCTAACTTTATAGCAAAAAATTTCGTAAATATTAAAATAAATAGTAGTATCGGTATGGCACTAGGCGGACTCAGAATTTTTAAGTCATAAGTAGTCAACTGCGATTTGCTACCTTTTGAGATTGGGTGCAAATTTCATATCTCCGATCCCAATGTAATCACAAAATTTAAAATGAAAAAAAGGGTCCGACCGCACCTGAAGTCAAGTCATGAAAATACTGAGGTTCCTATCTCCAATAAACAAAAGCAGAGGAATATTTGTGAATTGTGCGACCTTCAAGTATCTGGATTGCTAACTAATACTACTTGCTGCTACACCCGTTGAGACATATAGTGAAGTCCTGATCCATGAATCACTTTTTGGACTACTTGGGCACCAAAATATATTTTTCATATAAGTACCTTGTACATCATGAGGAAGCTGAAGCTTTCCAATACCGATAAATACTGGTTATATCTTCGGAATACTCAAGTCTAAGAAGTCCCTCGAATTTATTTGCGATAGAAAAAGTGATACGAAATATATCAAAAGACAGACTTTTTACAGAAAATTTTGCTTCAAAGTTGCAAGATTAATATGCTGAACCCAGGCAACTTTTTCTGGTAGCAAGAACTTGTTGGAGGGACCAAAGAAACCAGCGGACAATAGCGTGAAGCAACCACAAGACGGCCATTTTATACAGCTGAGAAACAACAGGTCAATGGCAAATTGCAGAACAAGAAGATAGAGTATATGCTTTAATTCAATATGAATACCTGAGAGACTACTGATTCTAACTATTTCTACAGAGATTCAAAATTGTCAAAAATAAACATTTAATCATGAACCAAACAATTCTCCCGCTTGTTTACAAGAGGTAGTGGGGGAAAAAGAATCCTCCCCAATCCAAACCTTTTCATTGTTTCGCCATATTAGGAAACATGCAATCCGTTACTATTAAATAACTCCTTTCTTAAGGAAAATTAAGGATCACATACTTTTTTTTTTTGCAGGGGTCGACCTCCATAGAAGAATTCGAACAGAAAGCTCCCGCAACTCCAATAGAGAAAATATATCAACAACAAACTAGACAATTAGCAAGAGACGACGTAGATGGAAATCCACGTACTAGCCAAGTAGGACAAACACCTAGCTGAATTATGATTAGCAGCATGTAAATAAAATGTACATAAACGGTTATGCTTTACAAGCAGCATATATCAACAAAAAAGATATTTTATCAACAAACTAGACAATTAACAAGAATCAAAGTAGATGGACATCCACATACTAGCCAAGAAGGACAAACACCTTTCTGAATTAAGATATAAAATGTATATAAACTACTGTGCTTTACAAACAGCTGCTTTATAATTCATCTTTAACCCCCAAAATAAAAACAGAAAAGATGCAAGTATTCAGGAAAAAGAAGAAGTCATACGTGGAAGATAATTCACAAGTTTCCTCACCAATTTCCTCACCAATTTCCTTATTTACTAAAAACTTCTTCAGTCGTCATCCCCGTCTTCCTCTTCCTCTCCACTTTCGTCTTCCTCATCAACCTCGGACGTTGACTTGTCAGATTCCACTTCTTCTGCAGATCCAGCAGCTACTCGCCTGTTATAAGCATCCTTGTTCTTTTTAAATTCCGCCATCCTTTTCTTTGCCTCTGCCATGTAAGGAGCTTTCTCAGCATCTGACAACTGTTTCCACTTGTCTCCACCAGCTCTACCGAAAGCAGATTTAATGCCTCGATTCTTCTCCTTGAACTGCTTCCCAATCTCCTTCAAGAAAATTAAGAAAGCAGATGCAGGCCTCTTGGGTTTGTTAGGATCCTTGGCAGCCTTCTTTGCTTTTTTAGTCTCGGGAGCTTTCTTTCTCAGGCCGCGCATGCTATTGGCTTTGGCGTAGAATTTACCTCCTTTCAAGATGAGACATCCAGGGTTAAGAAAATGAACAAGAGAGAAAAAAACAAAGAGATATGCCGTAGCTTTGTTGTGGCACAGCGATGTGAGTGTATGGCTGAAAGGGAAGGGATAAGAAGGGCTTTGGGGAGGGACTCAAAGGCACTCCCATACTATAGTCACAATGATATACGAGTTTTTAACTAGGCTAAAAGAGTGTTTTAAGTTATACAGAAGTAGGAAACTTAATACAAGTACAACAGCAATTAGGACTTAATCCGAATTAGTCGGTATGATCTGTAATCTGTATGAATCCTCTATTTTCATTGTGTTTGTCTCATTTGTTTTTATTGTGTTTGTCATTGATCTTCATGCATGTATAGATAAACCAAAACAATTACATATACCAAATGTATAAAGAGGTTGATCTTACATGGATGTGAATAGCCACTGGAGGGATCACCTTTTTCTTCCTCATAATCTGATAATTCTACCGCCTCCATTTTTACTTTCTTTGCTTTTTTAGACTCGGGAGATCTCTTCTTCACACCGAGCATGTTATCAGCTTTAGCATCGGATTTACCTCCTTTCATATGAAACCTCTGGGGTTAAGAAAATGAAAAAGAGAGAGAAAACAAAAGAGATATGCCCTAGCTTCGTGGTGGTGCAGTGAGGTGAGTGTATATGTGCTGAAAGGGAAAGGATAAGAAGGGGCTTTTGGGAAGGACTCAAAAGCAATCTCATACTATAGTCACGATAATATATGAGCCTTTAACTAGTATAAAAGAGAGTTATAAGTCATACAGGAATAGCAAACTTAATATAAGTACAACAGCAAACTTAACCCCAATTAGTTGGTATGATCTATGTGCATCATTTGTTTTCATTGTGTCTGTCATTGGTACTCATTTGTTTTATTGTGTTTGTTGTCGATTCTTGTGCACACACTAAATAAATTGAAACATACAATATGTATAGAGAAGTCGATGTTACCTGGATGTGAATAGCATGGATTCCCCCCATCTTTGGAGCCACTGGTTGGATCAACGATTTTTACATTCTTTGTTTTCTTAGTCGCTGGAGCATTTTTCTTCACGCCGATCATGTTATCAGCTTTGACATCGGATTTGCCTCCTTTCATGATGAAACCTCCAGGGTTGAGAAATGAACGAGAGAGAGTAAACAAAGAGATATGATCTAGCTTCATTGTGGTGCAGTAAGGTAAGCGTATATGGGCCGAAAGGGAAGGGATAAGAATACTGATGCCTGGCAGGCGGCTTGGGGCTAAACCTGCAGAAATTTCAACCAGCCTTGCCCGGCATAGCAATTTGTTCTGTTTTCAGCTCGGCCGGCCTCGCTTAAGTTCACTTTTGTTTTTTTTGTTTTTCTTTCTAAAAGACACAAGTTTAACATTTCATTACTTTTTTTAAAAGGATAGTTTAAAATTACTCAAACAATAAGTTAGTTGAAAATGGTATACATCAGGTTCAGACAAAGTAAGGACTTATCTGCTGGTGTATGTGAGTAGAAACCGATGACAGGAAAATCTTTTGTGGAGATGAAACAAATAAAAATATGTTGGAAATGTTTCTTGCATCACTTCTATCATTTTCTGCATTATAGTTTATTCTGCAACTCAATTTTCCTTTCCATCGTTGTTATCAGCAATATATTAGAGTTGTCTCCAAAACATTACATCTCAGAAATTTTTGAACTATATTATATAGCAGTCAACAATTATTGCAGATTTCTTGATACAACCCCAACATGCCCACTGCCACCCCCACCCCCACCCGCAACAAAAAATAAGGGGAACACAGAGAAATAACATTAAAAGAATCTCTCCCTCGCTTTCTTCAAGAAAGATTCATAAGCATATCTTATGAATCCGAATACAAAACTAGCAATCTCCCAGGGATATGTTACTGTCATGGTACATTTTCTTTAATCATACTAAGATGTAAAAGATATTGGCACTCATGAACCTGATGTTGAAGTGGAAAGGAAAGGAGAGGAAATAATAAGTATGAATAGGGTGGACTAGGAGAGTCATGTAAGTCTTTTAACTAGGCTAAAAGAGTTATACAGAAATAGCAAACTTAATACAAGTACAACAGCAATTAGGACTTAATCCCAAATTAGTCGGTATGATCTGTATCCATCCTTTGTTTTCATTGTGTTTGTCACTGACTCTCATTTATTTTTATTGTGTTTGTTGTCGATTCTCATGCATGAATAGATAAATTAAAAGCAATTAAATGTACCTAATGAATAAAGAAGTCGATATTACCTGGATGTGGATAGCATGTATTTCCCCCACTATTGGAGCCATTCGTTGGATCAACGCTTTCTTCTTCAGAATCTGACAATTCCGTTGACTCCATTTTTACTTCCTTCATTTTCTTAGTAACCGGAGCATTTTTCTTCATGCCAATCATGTTATCCGTTTTGCCATCGGATTTACCTCCTTTCATGATGAAACCTCCAGGGTTGAGAAAAACAAAGAGATATGCCTTAGATTTGGTGTGGTGTGGAAAGGTGAGTTTATATGGGCTTAAAGGGAGGGGATAAGAATAGGGATGGCAACGGAGCGTGTTGGGACAAAAACACGCCAAATTTCTACCCTCCCTGCCCCAGCCCGCATATCTAAATGACACAAGTTTAAACTTTCATTATTTTTTTTAAAGGAGTAAAGTCATTCAAACAGTAAGTTAGTTTAAAATGGTATACACCAGGTTCAGACTTAGTAGGGACTTCTCTGTTGTATGTGAGCAAAAGTCAATCATAGGAAGATTTTTTAGCGGAAAAGAGACTAATAGAAGTATGTTTGAAATGTTTCTTGCATAAATTCTATCATTTTATGCATTATACTCTGTGCTGCAACCCAATTTTCCTTTTCATAGCCATCATCAGCAATATATTGAAGTTGTCTCCAAAATATTACATCAGATAATATTTTTAAAGAGTACATAGTAGTCAACAATAATTTCAGATTTCTTGATACTACCCAACATCTACACACCCAAATGAATAATAAGGCAAAAAAGAAATAACATTAAAATAATCTATCCCTTGCTTTCTTCAAGATAGATCGATTAGTATATATGAATCCAAATAAAAAAAATTAGCAAGCTGTTACGGACATGCTACTGTCATGGTGACACCTATACTAAAGTGCCAATTAAGCGAGGCGAAGCGCATAACCTGTCACCTTCACCGAACTTCAGGGCTTAACCAGGCTTTAAGCGAGGTTTTAATAGCACTGATTAGGACTTAACCCCAATTAGTTGGTATGATCTATAAACATCCAATTGTTTTCATTGTGTCTGTCAAGATTCTCTAAACAATTAAATGTACAAAAATGTATAAAGAGGTCGATCGATGTTACCTGGAAGTGAATAGCTTGAATTTTCACCACCGGACGGATCACTGTTTTCTTCCTCAGAATCTGATAATACTATGGGATCCATTTTTACTTTCTTCGCTCTTCTTGAAGGTCCAGCATCCTCTTTATTTTCGGAGCTGCTGAGTTCCTGAAATGGTTTCCCTCCACGAAGATTTTTACAACTTTTCTGGGCGTAGGGCACGACTTGGAACGTGGATTGGTCAATGAGATAGAATATCAAGATTTCCCCCTACCTTCACCTTGCGATATCCAACAAAATGTGGCCAGTCTCCACCACAGATGAAGTAATCTGAATTCTCCCTCACTATTTTTACTTCCCAAAACATATCATCTACGTCAGTTTTCAGTAGGCAGGTCTTGCCCAACTTCTTCTTGTGTTCTTTCACAAAAGTAGGTGGCATTTGCTAACAAAATTATATCTTCAAGTTTAGCAAAACTAAGTTTGAAAACCAAAAAAAAAAAAGCAGATAAACTTGAAAAAGAAACTTACAATTTTATCCATAAAACCTTCATTACGTAAATGCTTGCGAAATGAATGATGATTCTCAGGATCTACTTGCATTTTGGAACTGAAAAGGGTGTTATACAATATTGCTATTTAGAAGAAGAAAAAGAAGAGTTGAAGTCAGAAGATTAGTGAAACACCATGAAAGATGGTGACGAAACCAAGAGACAGAGAATATATAGAGCACAAGTTTCTAGTGGGCAAAATGGATGAGGGTTTTCTTTTTCTTTTTCCATCGGAATTAAAGGGTTCAGGGTTTTAGCCAAAAATATTTTGGAATGTACTGGCAACTTACGCAAAATATTCTAGTAAGAAAAATCCGAAAAGTTTTCAAAGTGAGCAACTTTCATTAACTTGGTTGTATTTGTTTTGAGTCAATATGTTTTCAAGTTGCTATAATTGATAAAAAGACATCAACTTATTAATATTTTATTAATATCTCATGTCTATGCAATTCTCATGAGTGGAAACTTTTATCACTTTTAAAAAGGATTAAAAAAATACTCGAGATTAGTACTCACAGAATCATGAGAAAGTCACACAAATGCAACACTCTCTTTGTTGCCCTCTCTTCCTCCACGTTAAAATTTTCTTTTCGTTTGAGTTCTTCACATAAATATTAGATGGCAAGTTCTATGTCAAAATACAGTAATTAACAAAACATAATCCTAATTCGAACTCAAATTTATTTAGTAGGCGTTTGGACATAAAAATTACTCCCTCCATTCCAGTTTATGTGAACCTACTTCTTTTTTGGTCCGTTCAAAAAAGAATGACCCCTTTTTAAATTTGGAAACAATTTAACTTAAACTTACAATTATACCCTTAATGAGAAGCTTTTATAACCACACAAATAATCTGGGCCTCTTTTTGAGTTGTTTAGTATAAAATTGCACGGGAACCCTATTTGGTCGCCCCCATTTAACCTATACCCATTTTTTTTTAAAAACTTTTAACTTGTACCCACTTGTTAAAAAACTTTAGCTCCCTTTCTCCTCCCCTTCTCCTCCTTCATTTTCTTTTTTCTTCTTCTACAATCTGATTCCATCGAATCCATACCTGTAACGGTTTTTACTTCTTAAACTCATCAAAGCCTCTGTTATTTTATGACCACTTGAATTTACGTGTTGTTTCAACTGCACATCTATTTAAATTATCAATGGATTGACTTAAGCACGGAAATACAGTACATTTTCATACATTAATATAAAGAGTACGTAGCTTATTTTTTCGAAATAAGAACTGGGGAGGAACTTTATAGTGTTTGCGTACTAGACTAGATATTGCAGGGCATACGTAAAGGTGAGGGAAAAAGAAAAACCAAAAAAAGGAAGGCAAATCCCTATGTGCAAAAAACTTCAGCTCTAGAGCTGAAGTTTTTATTTTATAACTGGCAAACTTCAGCTCTAGAGCTGAAGTTTACCAGTTACTAAACAAAAACTTATAAAATAAAACTTCAGCTCTAGAGCTGAAGTTTCGGGTTACTAAAAAATTCCCTATGTGCAAAAAACTTCAGCTCTAGAGCTGAAGTTTTTATTTTATAACTGGCAAACATCAGCTCTAGAGCTGAAGTTTACCAGTTACTAAACAAAAACTTATAAAATAAAACTTCAGCTCTAGAGCTGAAGTTTCCAGTTACAACACAAAAACTTCAGCTCTAGAGCTGAACTTCAGGGCCGGCTACGAGAATGCTGAAGTTTTGCGTGATTGCCTTTGCTACTTCAGCCCCGTATGTTGAAGTTATGTGAAAAAACGGGTACGTTTGCAATTTTTTTTGCAAAGCTGGCACAAATTAAAATGTGACACAAAAAGTGGGTATAGATGCAAATGCCGCGTTGTTTAGGACCACAAATTTCAAAAGTCTTCATTTTTTCTTAAACTCTGTGCCCAGTCAAGCAGGTTCACATAAATTGGAACAGAGGGAGTATAATTTTTGAAAAAAAAGCAGTATTTGAGGTTAGGTTGAAAAATAGTATTTGGAATTTAAAATTATATTTGGACATGCATTTCAATTGCGAAAATGTTACAGTTTTATGGGTGGGGAAATTTTTTTTGAAAATTTTGAAAAATTGGCCAAAACCACTTTTTGGTTTTTGAAAAACTCATTGTGAATTTTTTAAGAAAAATTTACAAAATTTTATGTGACGACCCAAAGGGCCGTCACTTGTTTTTAATTGAATTATGTGCCTTCGAGGCCCTGAAAACCTCATTTAGAGTAGCCTCGATTTGCGTGGGCAATCCGGGCGCGTAGCCAGAAAGCTTAAATATGAAATTCTATGAAAAATATTAAATCTTGACTTTAATGACTTAATTTGACTTTGGTCAACCTTTTGGGTTAACGGACTCGGATCCATGATTCGACAGTCCCGGAGGGTCCGTAGGAAAATATGGGACTTGGGCGTGTGCCCGGAATCGAATTCCGAGGTCCCAAGCTCGAGAAAAGAATTTTTAAGTGAAATTGTTTAAGGAAATTTGAAACGAAAACTGATTAGAAAGCAATGGTATTGGGCCCGTATTTTGGTTTTGGCGCCCGGTACAGGTCTTATATATGACTTAAGTCATCCTTGTGAAATTTGGTTAAAAACGGACGTCGTTTGACGTGATCCGGACCTTAATTGAGAAATTTAATGTATAAAAGAGTTTTGAGAAATTTTATTGATCTCGAGGTTTAATTCGATGCTCGTGATGTTATTTTGATAATTTGATTACACGAATATGTACGTAGGATATTTTGAGGTTGTGTGTATACTTGGGTTGGAGTTTCGAGGGCTCGGGTGAGTTTCGAGTGGGTTCNCATAAACGGGAATTTGAGTTATTTTTCACTTTTCAAAACTCCAAAAACATAAGAGACGATTTTTTAAACAACCTTTCTTCTCCAAAACGTTGGTACGAGATTTCTAACTCATTTTCTTTACACCTTAACATCTTTTAACATGATTTCAACTTCAAATCAAAGCTTTTCATGGGGGAATTGAGTGTTTTGGGTAGAACCTAAGTTTTTCTAAAATTGGGGATTTGGACCTCAATTTGAGGTCTGATTTCAAAACAAATAATATATTTTTGTTCGTGGGGGAATGTGTAACCAGGTTTTGGTCCGAACCTCGGGTTTCGACCACGTGGGCCTGGGGGGTGATTTTTGACTTTTGGGTAAAACTTTAAAAAACTCATTTTCAGGCATTAAGGTTGATTCATTTAGCACTTATTGATGTAATTAAGTAACTTGTGACTAGATTCGAGCGGATTGGTGGTAGAATCGAAGGGTAAAGCTATAATTGAGACTTGAGTTGTGTTCAAGGCATCGATGTAAGTGTTTGGTATAACCCTAGCTTGATGGATTAGGAGTTGAGTCATACTTGCTAATTGCTTCTTGTTGAGTACGACGTATAAGCATGGTGACGAGTATCTGTACGTTGGTGTCAAGCATGACCGTGAGTCTTAAATTAAAAGTTGTTGTGTTCTTGAATGACACTTTGTATGCTTTAATTAATGATCTTCTATGATTGAGCATTTCCATTAATTAAACTGAGTACCAGCTAAGTGAGATTGGTTATAGATGATTCTCCCTTACCGGGATGACTATTTCGATATCATTGTTCCCTTGCCGGGATGACTATTTCGATATCATTGTTTCCTTGCCGGGAAATTGTTATATTGTTTTGTTCCCTTGCTGGAAAGTTATTATATCACTTAGGTTCCCTTGCCAGGATTTCTTGTGATTGTGTGATGAACTGTAAAAGGGAGCGGGTGGTACGCCTACCACAAGATTATGAAATGGGAGCGGGTGGTACAACTACCACAAGATTATGAAATGGGAGCGGGTGGCACTTCTACCACAAGATTATGAAATGGGAGCGGGTGGTACGCCTACCACAAGATAGTGAAATGGGATCGGGTTGCACGCCTACCACAAGATAGTGAAGTGGGATCGGGTTGCACGCTTGCAACAAGATGGAAATTGAAAGTGAAAGTTGTCTTTACTTTTCTTTATCTGTGTTAGAAGTTATATTGTTAGCTTCTTTGTTATTTCTTGTTATTTTGTTTTGTCAGCTACCCCCGAAGCATGTTCCCCTTCTCCAGCTTTAATTGTTTATTACTTGTTACTTTCCGCCATATGTTATATAACTGTACAGGTTTATCTGGAGTATGGTCCTAGTCTTGTCACTACCTCGCCAGGGTTAGGCCAGGTACTTACCAACACATGGGGTCGGTTGTGCTGATACTACACTCTGTACTGTGTGCAGATGCCGGAGCAACTTTCGAACAGTAGTTGGAGGGCTTCCTTCAGTCCACTCGAAGACCCAAGGTAGACCTATAGGCGTTCGCAGGCCCTAGCGTCTCCCTCTATCTCTATTTCCTATTTCATTTCCTTTGTTCAGAAATAGTGTATTGCATTTCTTCAGACCTGGTATGTAGAAACTCTTAGACAGTATGTGACACTGTGACACCAGGTTTTGGGGTATTTGAGGTTTTAAAAGTTGTAATAGACGTAGCCTTCAGATATTTTATGGTTATCTTCCGCTTAATTATTTAAGTTCTGCTGTTTTTATATTATTGCTCGTAATTGTTAAAAGGAAGTAATTTGGTAAGGAATTAGATAGTTAAGGGTTGGCTTGCCTAGCTCTCATTAGTAGGTGCCATCACGACTCCCGAGGGTGGGAAATCCGGGTTGTGACAAGTTGGTATCAGAGCATTAGGTTACATGGGTCTCAAGTTCACAGACAAACTTAGTAGGGTCTGAGGGATCGGTACGGAGACGTCTATATTTATCCCCCAGACGCTACAGAGTTAGGAAAACTTCACATTTGTTCTTTCTTGTCGTGCGGTTCTGTTTCCCAATACTGATTGAATTTCTACTTCGTTCTTTCGCAGATGGCGAGAACACGCGCTTCCTCATCTACCACTCAGAATCCCGAGCCCCCAGCAACAACTTCCACTAGGGTTAGAGAGCGAGGCCGTGCTAGAGGCCGAGGTAGGGGCAGAGTTCA